CGATCCCCGTTCAGCGGAAGAGCGTCGTCTGCCTTGAGGAACGTTTTGGGTTTTGTTTGTTGGGCCCGGTCCCGAATTCCGTAGCCGTATGGTCCGAAATTTGTTTGGCTCAGCCTTCACTCGGTTCCCCCAAGTGGCCCGCCTGCTCCCGAGCTGGGCTCGAATCGCTGTTCTCGGCGATTCGCTTGGCCCCTGGACTGTCTGCGTACGCTGTGCCTGGAGTTCGCACTGGAGCGACCGGCAATCTGCCTCGCGTTCGTGCGTTTGCAGCGCGAGCGAGGTCCCCGCGCGCATCGGAGCAAGCAGGAGCCGCGGCGGTTGCCCTCTCATCATGGGTGACGATCCTGGAGTCCCTGGGAAAGTGAGAGCAATGGTGAATCGTCTGCATAGACCGATTCTTGCTGACGGCGACGGTGCTTGCGGTATCCACGCCTTGTTTGGAAGTGAATATCACCGCGGTCTTCGCCACGCTGGCGCCACAGTGTTTTTAAGGCAGACGCTCCGGCGCAGCGCAGGGGGCCCTCGACGGAATGCGCGAGACTGTCGCGTGCTTCGCCGTCTCATGAATCGAGCATGACACGGCGCCCTCAAGCCTAAGGCTGAGCGCGAGGCCGGCACAAGAGCTGGATTGCCAGATTTTGGCAACGAAGAGCGAGAGATCGGGAAGAGCGCGAAGCCGGGCCGTGAGCTCTCATCCACATGCCTGGCTGCAGTTAAGGAAGAACACAGGACAAGGAACGTCTTTGAAGAAATGGGAATGTATACGAGTAGGTGTTGTTTCGTTAATGGTAGTAGACAGCGCAGTGCCATCTGTCGTCGCCGCAGCCGTCGGCGTCGGCCCCGCAGGCGTGATCGCAGCAAGCTGTCCTTCCGTTCGGGCAGTACATGTCGCGGTACTTGTTTGGCTCAACTGAAGTGAGGTAGAACTCGCGCGTGTCCGAAGCTCGGCCCACCTCGGCCCATGGGTCGTTGCTATCAACGCTGTCGTCGGAGCCGGCTTTGTCGCAGAGCAAGTCGGGCACGATCCCCCGCGGGTTAGTTGGGGTCTTGGCGCGCACTCGTTGAGTTGCTGTTGGCTGCTCTGGAGGCGTTGGTATTTGCGCTGGTGGGGGTGGTATGTGCGTGTAGCTGGCGTCGGGCATTGCTTCGTCCCGTCAAGCCTTTTTGTCCTTGATGGTCAGGTTGGGTAGTCGCTGCTGTGGTGGGGTCATTTTTGCGTGACCTGGGCATCTGCGTCGTTCTTTGTCCACGTGCTCGTAGCGTCTCCTCTCAACGTCGCAACGTGATGCGAGCTGTCCTCGAACCAAGTTGTAGAGTGTATGGTCGGCAGAGAAACCAATGAGGAACCTGGGTCAGTCCTTCGTAATTACGCGCGCAGGTGGTCGGAAGGCGACATGAGGTTCGTCGGGGCGGAGTATTTCCATTGTTGGTTGCTGGTGAATGTAGGCGGGTGTTGCGCGCGTTGTGTGCGATGTGAGCGCTGGGTTGTAACGCCTAAGTGAGCGTGGCAAATGCGTGGTAGAGCGCGCGGGGCCACGCGGTTGCCCGACGTTGGCGGGGTCAGTTCGTAGCGCGCTGGGGGCAGTGAATCCCGGCAGCGGTCAGGTTTTGACGCGTGCTGCGCCAGCCCATTGGCTCAGCAGCTCGCACTCATAGCCGGATGGCTCTTGCAGTTCCGCGCGCTCTGGTCGTTGATGCGTGGATTCTGGGGTGGCGCGTTTCCTTTGTTTTCCGACGATGCAGGTGGCCCAGGGTGGGCGTGGGGCTGATGCGCTTGATGCGTGGAGTGCATATGCTAAGTCGTTAGTGAGTGGACGCAACTCGGATCCCAGGGTGAAGTTGTGGTTGGCATCTGCCATGCTGCTGATGAGTGCAGTGCGTTCGTAGTCATCGTCTTTGTATTTGAACTTGGCACGCGTGCCTTAGTCTTCGTCCATCTGGAACTCGTACCTCTTGTCGCTTTGCTGATCGTAAATGTTGTAGTACGTATCCTTGAGGCTCTTCCCTATGTCATCCTCGTTGAAGTAGGCGTGCCTGAGTCGTTCCATGTTGTTGTCGATGTCGCTGTTAAGTTAGTCCCAGGTGTGGTGTATAAGTGGTATTCATCGGACGTTGCGCGGTGGTTCTTCGTTGTCGTCGAATGGTTTCTGGTCGGGTCGGTTGTCAAGTTTCCTGCGGAGTGGTATGCAGGCTGGCCTCTGGGGCCAGTGTGGCTCGATGTTGGCGCGTGCAGAGTAGTATTTTCATGCGTCGCGTGCTTCCTGCAGCCGTTGCTGTAGTTGGGTAAGGTGCTGCTTGATGATGCGTGGTAGGCATGCGATCGCGATGCGCGCCCCCCCCTCGCGCGCGCCCGCGCTTTGGTCGCGGGCGCCGGCATGCATTCGAATCCCTAGTGCAGGGGGGATGTGCGCGATGTATTTGTCGATTCTGGCGTCGGTGATCTTGTCCTTCTTATTTGGCTGTACTTGTGCCCGTAGTTTCTGTGCTGAGTCAGGGTCGT